ATTTTTTTTTTGCAAACGAAAATAAACCCTTGGGGCCGGGGTTCCGGGGGGGAGGGGGGTAACTTTTTTTTTTGGGGGGTTTAATTTTTCGGGGGGGGGGTGGGGCCCAAAAAAACCATCCCCGAAAAAGGGGGGGGGGTTTTCCCCCGGGGTTGGGCCCCCCGGGGGGTTTTTCAGGGGGGCCCTTTGGGTTTTCCGGGGGGGGTCTGGGGTTTGGGAAGGGCCCCCCCCTTTTCCCCAGGGGGGGGGGTGGTTTTTTTTTTTGGGGAAAGGGACCCCCCCCCCCTTTCCCAAAATTGGGGGGAAAAACAACCTTGGGCCCTTCCCCTTTCCCCCCCCCCCCTTTCTTTTGGGGGAGGGGGGGTAAAGGTTTTAACAGTTAGGGCATGCAAAACTTAAGGGTCCCCCCCCCCCCCCCCCTCCCCCCCCGTTCTTGTTTTTTCCATTGGGTAGCGAGACGTTGTGCACGACTGCAAGGTATCAGCCCGGCTCACCCTCGTGGACCTGGCGGGGTCGGAGAGGGCGGGGAAGACGGGGGCAGAGGGGAAGCGGCTGGAGGAGGCGAACAGCATCAACGTGTCGCTGCACACGCTGGGCAGGGTCATCCGGACGCTGAGCGAGAACGGCCCCCACGTGCCGTTCCGCGACTCGAAGCTCACGCGCCTGCTGCAGGAGTCTCTGGGCGGAAACAGCCGGTAAGGATGGAAGTTTGCACTCAATAGCTAGGCGTATATAGCGTGTGGTCAGCGAGTGGTTTGTTGTCGATGGCGCTACATCACGGCGTGCATGTTACCCCCACCTATTTGTCAAGGCATCCCTCGAGCGACTTCTCTCTGGCTTAATGGTCTGTCTGTCTGTTTTGTGAGAATATGATCGGGATGTTTTTCAGCGCTGTTTTGCTGGTGGTCTTCTGCATACCAAAGTTCGTTTTTTTTTTTTTGTCCTGCTGCTGCTGTGCCATATCAACGAAACAAAACGCGTGGATCCTCCCCCCCCCCCCTCAACAAAGCCCCCGCCTTTCTTCGGTAACAACCCTGTTGTCGCACGGGCGGCTTGGCGTCGAGAGGATAAGTATGTATTAATAGGAGTCACTCGACACCACCACCGCCGCCCGATTGGCCATCGGTGATCGGTCCTGTGGGAACAATGCTCCGTCCTCTCGAAGACTACAGCAACTAGGGCCGCCAAATACATGAGTACCCCCCCCCGTTCCCCACTTGCGACACCCCCGTGTTTCCCAGCACGGTGCTGATAATCTGCTGCAGCCCGGACGAAGCCCAAGCGCAGGAGACGTTGTCCACCCTTAAGTTCGGCGAGTGCGCCAAGCGAGTGACCACTTTCGCCTCTGCTAACGTGGTGGCGGCGCCGGACAAGGTCTCGCAGCAGCTGTCTGAGCTGAGGGCCGAGGTCGTCCGTCTCAAGCGACAGGTGCGTGTTAGTGCGGCGTGTGTGTGTTTTGTCATTGGTGAGATCGTTTCACCTTGTCTCACGTGTGGTGTGGTGCGGTGTAGTGTGGTGTGGTGTGGTGTGGTGTAGTGGGCACCGTTTGGACTTGACTGCTGTGGTGCGGTGTGGCTCGTGCGCGTTTCTCTTTGTGTAATGAAATGTGGTGTGGCATGGTATGGTATGGTATAGTGTGGTATGGTGTGGTGTGGTATGGTATTGTATGGTGTGGTATGGTACGGTTGGTGCGCCTGTCTGGTTGTGTATTGAGATGAGCGTCGTTTGGACATAGTGGTGTGGTGTGGTTTGGTTGGTGCGCGTTTCTCTTTGGTGTTTAGGGGTAGGCGTTGTTTGGACTTATCTCCTGTCTGTCCACCCGCGTTAACCTTCTCCCTCCCTCCCGTCCTCTAGGCCTGCTCAGGTCGTTCGACCCACCCACCCATGGGTGGACCTACATGCTCGCTCATTCTGTGCGCTCGATGCCAAAAGATCAAACCATCCCCGCTCGTTTCCTTGGCCTTAGTGTTGGCATACCCCGACTCCCGACGACCTTTGCCTGCGCCCGCGACCGTATGCCCCGCCACTGTGCCGTTTCTTTTGTATTTTGTTGTTTTCTCCCTGTGCTCCTCCTCCTCAGCTCCACGACTGTCAGCTGCGAGAGGCTCGGCGGAGCGAGGCATTTCCATCGATTGGGGGAAGGTGTGATCGTTGATGGGGTGCAAGGCGCGAAAATATTCCGACAAATTCAGCGTTTCTCTGTGTCTTTGCTGCCTGTCTGCCTGCCTCCCTGCCTGCCTGCCTGTCTGTTCCTACTTAGCACTGAACTCTCTGTTGGTTGTCTGTTTGTCTGTCTCTCTAGCTTGCTGTACAGTATTTCTTGCTCTCGCCTGTAGAATGTTGCCGCGCGTGGGGATCGGTGTCCTGAGGCCGTCCATCAGGATTTCACTTGCCGGAATTGAGCCAGGTGCAACTTGTGTGTACACGTTATTGGGGCAAGCTTGCTTCGCCTGTGTTGAGTTATAAGCCCGAGATCCGCAAGCCTCTGCCGCTTGCTTGATGCCTGCCGCCTTCCCGCCCACCTCGTCCTGCGCTCATCGGCCCAAGCGCGCGTGGGGGAACAAAACATGCCCGCTTTTTTGTCCGGAAACTCCGGCAATATATCACGCATCGATTAGTACGGACGGATCAAGGTGGAGAAAAGGTTTTTAATGTGAAGGAACAACGACGACAACAACCACCCTCCCAACAACCCGCTTGACCCGTTTGCGTCGCCCGCCGCCAGGCGATCGAGTCGGTCTTCCATGTTGATGGGAGAGCGGGCCTCCACGGGCGGGGGCAGCGCTCTGCGCCGGAAGCTGGGTTCTTCCCCGCTCAGCCGGCCGGCTTCTTTCAACAACGCTGCCGGCCTCGCCAGCGATCTTGCCAACAGCAGGTTAGTGGGTCTAGTTGTATCGTGTAGCAACTTCGTCTTTCGTCTTTTGGCCTGCCTTCGTCGCAATAATTGGGGCTTTGGCTCGCTCGAGGGGCCCTCCCACCCGAATAACGCCCCCGGTGCCCTCGGCCTGTTGTGTTACCAGGGGGCTTCGTACGTAGGGGGCTTCGTACGTACACATGCATGACTGTATCGGAGTGGATGCAAATTGCTTCATGACTCATCTGCAAAAACATCGTGCTGTGTAAAATTGTTGGTTTATGTGATGTTTCGTTGACGCACACATACGTGAGGTAGGAGACCGATAAGGTTTGAGAGATTTTGTTGAAGTCTTACCCTACCCCGCCCCCTCCGATTTTGGTACACCCGTGCTCAGCGGCGAGGAGTCTTGGTCCGAGGCCATCACCAACAGCCGCGGCAGCGGCGGCGTCTGGGAGCAAGAAGTATCCCCCTGGCCGACGAACGGGACGGGGGGGCTGACGGTCACGGCCCAGTCCCCGCTGGCGGCGTTGGTGTCGCCGTCGATGTCCCCCGACGCGGAACATCATCATCTCGCGGGGCCCCCTTCGAGCAGCGGGCGGGGGGGACGGCAGCAGCGGGGGCGGGGGCGTCAGCAGCAGCAGCAGCAGCAGCAGCAGCAGCAGCAGCAGCCGCAGCAGCAGCAGAAGCGGCAGCGGGATGATGGGCAGCAGAAGCGGCCTCACTGGGGCTGGTCCGCTAGGTCTTCGCGCGCCGACTACTACGGGGCCACCCCCGGCGGGAACAGGAGCGTCGAGGCGCACCGGCTGAGACGGACGGGCAGCGCCAGCAGCAGCATCAAGAGCACCACGAGCGTGCGGCGGTTGTGGTCGGAGGACGAAGAGCGCAACGCCGCCGATGACGCTAGCGCCGCCGCCGCCGCTGCTGCCGCTGCTGCTGCCGCAGCAGGAGCAGCTCCTGAGTCTGCCGCGTTCGCGGAGCTGGTGGTAGTGGAGAAGGTCACCCCGGCTGCGAGCGGTGGCGACGGCGTGCGCAGCTGCTGGGCGCGCCGCAGGTCGCGGTCCGGAGGCCGCAGCAGCTGGAGCCGGGAGAGGGATGAGGGCGGCGGCGGTCCTCTGCCGCGCCGCCGCCCGGCGGTCTCTTCCGGAGGCTCGGGGCAAGACGGAGAAGAAGGAGGGACGGAAAGCACCAAGCCGCCGCCGCAGTCCAATTCGCCGTCTTCTTGTAGTGCTACCGATGTTTCGGCGGCGAGTGCGGCGGTGGTAGGGGCGGCGGCGGTGGTAGGGGCGGCGGCGGTGGCGGCGGCTGCTCGGGGGCGGGGGCGGCAGCGGGGGCGGCAGGAAGGCGGTGAGTTCGCCCAGGCGAATAAGAAGGCTCAGGCGAAAACGCAGCAGCGGGGGGGAGAGGGAAACGACGGGCAAGGGTCAAGATCGGTCGGCTCCGACTCTGATCTGGAAGAGATCAGGACGGCGGCGGAGGGGGGGGGGAAGTCGCCGGCACGGGCGGGGGCGTCGTCATCGTCTTGGATGCCGCCGTCTTGCGAGGGGGAGAACGGAGGAGAAAGGGAGGGCACGCGGGAGCAACAACCGGAGCTGCGCGCGGTGCTGGCCAGGCTGCAGGGGCTGGAGAACTCGTGGGTCGCGAGGGTGAAGCAGTTCGAGAAGCTGCTGGCGCTCAAAGACCTCCGCATAGAGTCCCTGACGCTGCTCCACAAGCACGGGCCGCTGTCCTCCGGCCGGCCAGCAGGCGCTGGCAGCGGCAGCGTTAGCGGTGGCCGCCACCGCCGCGGTTTCGACAACCACCGCCAGGTGGCAGAAGAGGAGGAGGAGGAGGGGGCCGCCCTCGCCAAGAGTAACGGCGCCGCCACCCCGTCGGGGAAGCAAGGCGGGGCGCCCGGCAGCGCGGGCGGGAGGCGCAAGAAGAGACGGAGCTCCCCACGGGAGAGGCGTTCGCCTAGACGAGAACGGATCTCTCCGAGGCGGACAACGCGAGGCGGGGAAGCGGCGGCGGCGGCGGCGGCAGAGGAAGAGGCTGAGAACAGCGGCGGCGGGGAGAGGGCCGAAGAAGGCGCCAGGAAGCGCGGCAGCACGCGCGGGAAGGGTCCCGCCTTCCCGCCGAGCGAGCGCAAGCACGGGGGTGCCTTGGCGACAGCGGCGGCGGTGGCCTTCCCCACGGCGCCCCCGCCGTCGCCCATGATCCCGCAGGAAGCCCGCAGGTCGTTCGCGCTCGACGGCGCCGACTCTGACAACGATTATTGAAGTCGGGCGCTTTTTCCTGTCGGTATGCAGTGTGAGACGCATACGGTAGGAAGTGCTACGCCCCCCCCCCCCCCCCCCCCTTTTTTGGCCGGGGTGGGGGTGGAAATTCCCGGACCCTCCCCCGGTTTTTCCTGGCGGGGTCCCAAAAAACCAGAAGGAAACAAGGGGGAAAACTTCCCTAAAAACACCCCCCCCTCCCCCCTCCCCCGGGAGTTGGGGGCCTTCCCCCCCCCCCCCAAAAACCTAAAAGGAAATTTTGGACCCAAGGGGGTTTAACCCACCCCCCCCGAAGGGTAACAACATCCAATAACCAAAAAATTTGGGCTGGCCTGGAAGGGAACCCCCCCCCTCCAATTGGCCTGGGGGGGGGGGTCCAAAAGAAAGGGGGGGATTGGCCTTTTCCCCAAAAAAACGGGTTGGAAGAATTAAAAAAAATACCAATAAGGGGGGTTCCCCCTGGCCCGGGGAACAAATTAATGGATTTTTTTTGGCCCCGCCTTGGTTTTAACCGAAACCTTTTTTGTTGAATTACCGGCTTTCCGGGGCAACCT